TTTCTATTTCCTTCTTCGCCACTACCAATAATTGCTAAACAAGCATTTTTTTGTAAAGTTCTGTAAACAAAAGCAAATTTTTCCTTCCTAACGAAACGAATTGAAATAATTACATACAAATTATTCCACCATTGTGTTTCTTCGAACGCGTAAGCCCAAATTTGATGTTGACCAGCCATGGATATAAGTAAGACTGTCTTATGATCAACTAAAATAAACATGTCGATATGGCTGATCGTATTTCATCTATAAACTGAATCTTACATGGTGATTCTGTTATACATAAATCCCATGGCGAAGCAATGGGTTGTTGAGATCGTTTCAATCCACCGACTTTGTCAGTACCTAGACGACCTGTGCCAATCAATGTCAAAACGCGTCGAGAGTTAGGATCAAACTAGAAGTGAATTATGAAAAGATGAATACGTTCTCTTGTAATGTTTTACCACACGAATCGCATGATTGTTTGTATCCGCTATATAGATACAACTATTGTATTCGGCCATCCCACGTGGCGAATCAAATTCAACTTGGCTAATATCTCCATCTGCCATACCTGGATGACCATTTCCAACCACTTCCTGTTCGATAGAAAAGATGATTTTCATTGCATTGAAATCGAAAATCTATCACATACAAGAACTTTTCCATCAATTTCACAAAGAATCAATTGATTCGAGCCCGCATACGAAATACACATTTGTCCACTTGAAGTGATACATAAATGACTTGGATATGTAAATTTCGCTGGTTTCGAAGTTGCACCACTTGCCGCTGGGTCGTCCGGTGACATTTTTATCGCTGCTGAAATATTTGGTGATGCTCGTACACTCGATTTATAATAGGCAAGAGCAAACGCAAGAAACGTTTCGGTATGTTGAACATGATTTTCACCTTCAAATATAAATATTGGTATCGCATCAGGTCCGAACACCAGAACAGTTGGCCAAATCTGACAACCAACATGTTTCCATACACTTAATGAACTATCGTTGACGACGTTGAATGGAAGCGATTGTTCCTCCATGGCGTGTCGAACATTTGCTTTGTTTTTCTCATGTTCATATTTAGGAGAGTGAATACCAATGATAGTAACCTTGAAAAATCAATTCAGTCCAAATATGACTTATTTTCGCGTATACTTACACCAGCAGTAGAGTAACGTTTATCGATTCCGATGAGTTTTGGCATCATATGCGATGAATGAATATTAGAAAATGTCCAAAAATAAGCAATAACGATTTTCTCGTGGAATGTATCCTTCAATTGAAATCCTGGATTAACGTGTATCATTTGTAAAGCTATATCGAAAAGAAAATTGTCTTTGAAGGAAGAAACTCATTCGAAGTTTTACCAAGAATTTTCTCATAGATATCACGTGTATATTTACGGAGATTATCTCCATCCGTACGTTCGTGAAGTTTAGTCAAATAAGCGCGCGCGAACTCATCTAATTTCGATGGATCATTCGCAATGCCAGACAGAAGATCAAAGGTTATATCGCGAAATGAATCTGTATTGAAATTTGTCGTGTCCATCTAAAAATTCAATCGGACGGTGTAGAATATAAATAGTAAGATCACTAACTATTGTCTGATCTACTTATCAATCAACACAACAGAAAAAACGACATTTAAGTGCACTTTTTCTTATCCAATTATATCTTACAACAGATGTGGTTTATGAAAACTGGGTGTTTCTTAGACGCGATAACAATGAAAAAGTGGATCGATGCAGGTGTGTTTTCAAAATGTCGAACAGTTTGATTGTGTTCAGTTCAGTCTTCTATCGTTGTTTTACACTTGATAAACTTCCAATCCATCTTGACACAACATCCAGCGCCCTCTATTCTGTCTTTGTTATTACGAAGAAATGTTTTCGAGAAAACATTTTTTCTCCAGTCAAGATAAAATGTTGAATTCGAAAGAAACAATCCAAATTTTGTTTTCTTCATTGATTTACAACCAACCGAGGTGTAGACAATATACAAATGGCGATGCAACGATAGTCTTCGTTTCATTTCATTGAAGGGCATGTTAAAAAGAGAAAAAAGAATTGAAATTTCAATGTTTCATTGTTGCTTCTAGATTGACTGATGAGTAGTTCAGTTCAATCATCTTCGTCAACATCTTCGGATGTTGTCCTTGTACCTCATCCATTGAATCATGTCAATCACAATCATACGGAGTCAACTCCAACAAGTAAATCTTTGAAACGAACTCGATCGCCAAGTCTAACACGAGATGATAACAATGAAACAAATGACTCGACAGCACCGCCAGATACACCAACAAAGAAAAGTCGGAGAAAACGAAATACGACGGATATTGATCAAAGTTTAGGGTAAGAATGTTCAATTATCGAACGAAGTTTCCATGTGAAATTGTTCATTTCGTACAGATTACATGTGTCTGCAGATAAAATTCACATTTACCAATGGCCAATCGATGAAGCACATGCAGATTTTCATGTCTTACAAGAACAAATATGTGATTTCTTATCATTGAAATCTTTTAAAAGAAAATATCCTGGTTCGTTTCATCGTTTGTCTTACAATTTTCATCGCATCATTCATATTTAGATATTTGTCGGAGAATCGTTGATTTACACGAAAGAGAATATTTGAAATCACAAAATGTTGTGACAGAAACACAGTGTGATTTAGGTTTGACCGCATTGAAACTTGATGAAGTACTCAATTTAATGTCAACAGATTATCCAGATAAATATCACGTAAGACTCTTTCATTTAAATGAAAACATTAACTTTCTCTTATCCTCTTGTTGAATTTTAGCAATTCAGTCATGTTTGGCAACAGAAACGTCGTGCACTCGCAGCAGCAGCAGCAGCAAATCATACAAATCCTAATCATAATAGTACTACTACTCCAACGCTTTTATCTGCATCTATTTGTAATCAATTATCAGCAGCGAATACTCCACCACTAGTAACTCCAACCACGAATTCGTTAGATAATGGAGATAAAACTCGCACTACTGTAAGTGTTGTAATTGACTTTGAATGGTAGAATATATGTTGCTTTGTTAGAAACTATCAAATACCATTCGACAGGAATTATTGCGATCAGCAGTTGATTATAATACACAATTACAACGAGAACGACGTGAAGACAGGAAAGCCTGTTTTGACCTGCAAACTATGGTCTGTTTCTATTCGTCTTTTCTTCAATGTTGATCGAGTTCTTCTTTTTAGCAAGTACATTATCCAGCTAATCGACAATTTCGTCTACCATCTCACTTAACTAAAATTGGTTCTTACCCACTAGCTCTAGTACCAGGACAATATCAAGATTCGTATATAAAATATGGCTCAGAAGAACTGAAATATATGCCTGTTAATACAGCTCTATATTATTATCCAAAACCAGTTTCACTCATTCGTCCTGACCGTTTTTCTCGGCAGGTAAACATTCTCGAGAGTAAACATCGTTACGTAGTTAACAATCTCATTCAGTCAAAATTTGCTGGAGAGGAAGAGAAATTACCTTTTCTTTTTCATAACTCTCTCTCTCTCTCTCTTTCTTTCTCAAAGAGGATACTTGACTGATCAGTGTAAACACAGATTCGAATACGAAAGATCGAAGTCGTCTAATATCAGCGATTTGCATTCAAAAATGTTTTCTACATATCTTAACGAATGACTGTTTCTCTAGGGTGCGTCAAGTGATGAAGAAGATGAAAGTACTTCAAGTGCACGTCCGTTAGTTTCCAATCCTTCGACCCCACAACCGCCCTCATTAGTCAATGGAATCGGGGGTAATAGTAACAATTTAGCATCAGTTCGTAATACGAAACAATCAACATCGATTTCACTGAACAGTCATGCAAATATTTGTCATGTGTGTAAAATAGTTAATGATGAAAATGACGAAGAATTAATGACATGTACAAGTTGTCAACATCGATATCATCCAGTTTGTCTTGATGTGAATAGCGAAATGCTAACAATTATCAAAACATATCCATGGCAATGTATTGATTGTAAAAGTTGTGCAAAATGTAACAAAACTCACGATGAGGTACGACGTTCTTTTCTGAGAAAGGAGTAGATGTCAGTTTGACTTTCTTTTGCAGGCTAATATGATGTTTTGTGATCGATGTGATCGTGGCTATCATTCGTATTGCGTTGGTCTTGAAGCTATTCCAGATGGATCATGGCAATGTTCAGCGTGTGATCTGCCCGCACCACCTCCGTCATCAACTTCACCAGTTATCAAAGGCAAACGTGGTCGACCTTCCAATGCAAAGTACGCTTTCTGTTCGTTCGAATAACTTTCATTGAATTTGATTTTAACATAGTCGCACATCTCCACGGCAACAACCAGCACTTCCGTCTCCCAAATCAGAAACTCCTTCTCCTTCACGTGTCTCATCTCGTCGTAGTCGCCAAATTTTATCTACACCTTTATCTCCATCAAACAATACAAATCATTCCTCGAATTCTTCTTCAGCTGATCTAATATCAACTACGAACAGTCCTTCGATGAATCTCGTTCTCACTCGACATCAACAACAATGGACTACTACTGCCAATAGTAACACGAGCACTAACCCAATCGCAACATCGACTAATCCAAGATAGGAAAAAGAACACACTTCTTTGAACTCAATCAATGAATCCAAAACAACATTTCCCTTTCGCTGTATATTTCAATTTTCTCTTTTCTATACTACCTAGATTAGGTAGGCGGATGAATTATTCCATGTTTGTTTATTTTTTTCTTCATTTCTTCTCTTCTTTCTACGTGAATAATAGAACGAGATATATATGTACAGAAAAGCACGAAAACACAAATTCTATTCTTTTTTTCTCTTCCTTTTCTGCTCTTCTTATTCGTCCTCTTTACCTACCAAAATATACACATATATTAATATATTAATAAACGACAAACATTTTTGAAAGATCGTCTTGTCTCTTTCTGTTTCTTTTATTTTTGATTATGTTCGCCTGAAAACTAATTATGTACATCTTACTCTAGAATGACATCCAATCCTCCACAACAAATCCGTCCGATTATTGAATGTTTTTGTAAAATTTTATCTTTCTATGGATTTACACCAATCACACCTGAAATCTTTCGCTTGGCCAAGTTTAATCGTAACGAAGCTGTAAGAATTTCCAATTCACGCGTCACTCTCTTCAAACAGTATTGAATGTTATTTAGACTATTCCAATATGGCGTCTGATATTTGAAATCTTGCATTTCGATCCGACCAAAGCGAATCAGCAACACAGTATTGATAAATTTAATCAAACACAAAAAGGTACATTTCACTTGTGCAATCGTTTCAACTGAATTCACATTTGTGTTTAGATGAATTAGTCTTTCTAATGAAAAATGATTTATTCACACGTGGTTATACTTACGAACATTTCCTCTCGCTTGATAGTACGATGCAAAAGGGCAGTCGACAATTACTCATTTGTCTTGGTTGGCTGATCTATCATGTGAAATTGATTGAAACATGTATGGAATCATGTTTAAACAATGATTCGATCTTGGATTATGATGATACCAGTTCTCTTCATCCGGTAAACGCGTTTTTAGCGATTTTTTTGTGCTAGTATATCGGTTTTGTGTTCGTAGACGGATAATGGCAGCGAACGAGTGAACAATTCGTTTGAAAAGAAAGGTCTTATTGATCAAGTAAAACAAGCCATGCATTTAAATTCGAAATTGCGTTTTGGTTTGCGACGACTGCACGGATTGGTGATTGAAAATACAACCTTGCAGCATCAGGTAAATAGCGTTTCGTTTATAACATTGAAATTATCAATAAGATTTTCATTAGATTCATCAATGCCACAACATGTCTTCGCTCGAAGCACATCTTTGTCAACATCCTCATTTGTTGTCTCATGTAAGTTAGCCGAATCGAAATTCTATTCGTATCGGTTCTTGTTTAGTACATGATCGAACTGGAAAACGAGCACCAAAAGTTGAACTACTTTCTCTTTTGGAACGAACATGAAAATGTCTTTTGGAAATGGATGGTAAAACACTAATGAAGATCTACAAGTTCATGCGCGTATGCTTTAGGAAAGTGTACTTGACCAACCATCGGTCGTGGAAGACGAGAGTGACGATAATCAAGATGAAAATGAAGACAAATATGAGCCCCTACGACAAGTTGATTGTCAACGTTTAGAAGCAGAACGACAGAAGTTTAATGCAGCTATCGACACACTCGACAGCGCTCTCGTCCGGCTTCAGCAACTATGCTTATCAAATGTAAATCATCTAATATGTGTCAAGCATTTGTCAATCATTACTTTTCTCTTACGTAGAACGATCACGCGTCGATTACACAGGATGTTTCATCGATTTTGAATTCCATTGATACTCAGGTTTCTTCACTGTTCAATCAATTGCTTGCAAGTAATCCGTCGATACTTCCAAAATCGTCGACACTATCATCTCAAACATTTTTTCTTCATCAACCACATCGCCTAGTCTATACGAACAAAGCCGATTCTCAAGATGTAAATCGCTTCATAAAACCAATCGATTTCGATCGTGAAACGACGTGTCTGAATACTTTACAAACAAATATCGATCAACAGATCGACAAACAACGTACAATACTTGATAAACTTTCTCATAAATTTCAAAATGTTATGATTGTCTGATAAAGAAAACAGAATTGTACATAGATAAATGTCATGTTTAGTTCCTAATGTGAGAATGTATTTGATTTTAGATTGAAAGAAAAAAAAAAGATGGCAGAAAAATTAAATAGTTTTGCGAGTCGATTATCTCAAGGCACACCGAAAGGCTTAGGTTTAGGTGTGAAGGTCCTCGTCGGTGCATCAGCAGTTGCATATGGGATCTATCGATCGATGTTTACTGGTAATTGCTCGAATGAGACGATGAATGTATTCCATAAAAGTCTTTGCGTTTGCTCGTCTAGTTGAAGGCGGTCATCGTGCGATTATTTTTAATCGTATTGGTGGTATCGATCAAAATACAATCTATTCAGAAGGATTACATTTCAGGTAAGCGAAATGATCAAGATATGACTGATACTTTCATTAGCGAGACAAACCGTAAACAAAAATTGTCAATTAGAGCAGAGAGAAGAAAAACGTGAAGGTTATGAAAACAGTTATATACTTCTTGATTTTGTCAAAAATTTATTCACGCTTTTTACATAGACTCTGAATACGAAGTCAGTGTATTCGAGAATGATTGTTCTCTTTTTTTTCCTATAGAATCCCATGGTTTCAATATCCAATTCTCTACGATATTCGTGCCCGACCAAGTATTATCAAATCGCCAACGGGCAGCAAAGGTTTCTACTTTTCATTGCTGAATTTCTCACTGCAAACTTTTCTTTAATTTAGACTTACAAATGGTCACTATCGGTTCGTTGATTTTCTCTTCCAAAGAATTTCATATGACTGTTTACGAATGTTTCTTTCAGCACTTCGGGTTCTAGCTCGACCTGATCAAACGAGACTGCCAAAACTATATCAATCATTAGGTGTTGATTGGGATGAACGAGTCTTGCCGTCAATTTGTAATGAAGTCTTGAAAAGTGTTGTAGCTAAATTTAATGCATCACAACTGATCACTCAACGACAACAAGTATCGAATTTGATTCGAATAGATCTTATTGAGCGTGCGAAAGACTTCGATATTTTACTCGATGATGTCTCGATTACTGAATTGAGCTTCGGCTCACAATATTCAGCGGCAGTTGAAGCGAAACAAGTCGCTCAACAAGAGGCACAACGAGCAGTATTCACAGTCGAACAAGCAAAACAAGAACGTCAACAAAAAATTGTTCTTGCGGAAGGTGATGCCGAGTCAGCTAAACTTGTAAGTATTCTTCTTACGTAATACATGATATACATCGAACATTTTCTTCTCCTTATCAGATTGGCAATGCAATTAGTAAAAATCCTGGTTATTTAAAACTACGAAAGATTCGTGCAGCACAAAATATTGCTAAAACGGTATGTTTGATAGGTAAACTAGTGATTTCAATTCTAATTTGATTATTTTTAGCTTTCACAAAGCACGAATCGTGCATTTCTTGATGCTCAAGCTTTAATGATCAATGTTGCCGATCCAAAATTTGATGAAACTACTCAAGATCTTGGACGCAAACGACGATAATCTGTTTCGTTTCTCAGGTGTTTGTTCCTTGTTGTGCTATGCAGTGAAATATTTCCAACTTCATGATGAAAGAAGGAAAACGAATGATTTTACTATGTTATTTTTTACATAAAAAAAGTCATGATTTTCCTTTCCCGTTGATTTGTAGATATGAAACATAGAGCAGCTCGTCGACGAACAACGACACATCCACAAGTACGTGATACATCGAACACTATGACGAGTAAATCAATATCTCAACATAAAGTAAATTGATAAGCAACGACATATCTGATCGTGGAGAGTTTATTATTTGCCATTTGTTGAGTAGATCAATCGACCATATCGACCCTCATCATTACAAGAGCAAATAACGGAAAAACAACAGAAACGATTTGATAGTATGAAACGCATCTTTGACGAGTATCTGTTATTTACATTTTACATTCTAGCGGTGAATCAAATATTAGAAAGAGTATCAACGTAAGACATTCTATCGAATAGGAAGCCGTTATCAATCTCCTTCCCCTTCTTATGATTTAGTAAGCCGGTGAATAGTCTAATGAATCAAAATAACAGTTACAGTCCGAATGAAAGTGGCAATGATGATGGATCTGAAGGTAGGCTTGGACCGTTCTCACTACTGGAAATCCCAGTCGAACTAAATTTATCTATCGTAGTATCCATTGTTGGATATCTCAAAGCCAAACCAATCAAATTCCAGACGTATGTTGTCATTTCTAGACTTCTGTTCCTTTTACCCTCTGCCTGTTTTATGAATAGACTTGATGATCTTCTTCAACATTTCCCATCCGTACGCAGTGCACTACTTAAAAAGTATGTTTTCCATTCTTTACTCAATACTTCTCCTATCTTGACGTTCAACGTAGACGACCTATTCCATCCTCGTCCACAACACCTGAAGTAAGTCTAAACTAGTTCTATATTTTAACATATAACTGTCTTTCTTCTCAAAGACTATTACATCCCGTTTGTCATCTCTCCAAATAACTTCGTCGTCAACAGTTCCTGCAACCGCTTCGACCAAATCAGCTTGGCGTACGCGTCGAACATATAGTAAATTTTCGTTCACTTCAAATATTTTTATTGACGTCCGTTGTAGCTTTGGCTGATGATCAACTTCATCTTGTTCAATCTATCTTAAGTGGTGACGAAAATGAGCTTTTCGGAACGATTGGTGATCAGCCTATAACTCGTAAAGACATTCGTACACTTCGTGGTCTTACTTGGCTCAACGATGAAGTACGCGTAGTCTTCGTTTGTGTCTCTATAAATGTAAATCCAATGTTTCTCAAAATAGGTTGTGAACTTTTATTTGGCACTAGTCGCCCGTGAAAGTGGTACACAAGGCAATTTACGTGTATATGCATTCAGCACATTTTTCTACTCGAAACTATCGAAAGATGGCCCAACACATACAAGTTGGGATCGATGGATGCGACGAGGAAATATCACTCTCTTTGATTATGATCTCATTCTTATCCCTATTCATCAAGGAAACCATTGGACGTTAACTGTGAGTGAAAACTTTCCATTGACAAAACAAGCAAAGCAATCCTCATTTGTTCTTTCCTCTTTTTTCAGACAATCGATTTTCGTTCTCGTTGTATTGGATATTATGATTCATTAGGTGGAACAGATGACATGTGTCTCGGTCGTGTTTATGCCTTTGTTGAACATATGTACGCAACAAAACGACAAATTAGTCCTATGCCTGACGGTTGGCGTGTTCAACCAATGAATATGATACCTGAACAAGCAAACGGTAGCGACTGTGGTGTGTTCGCTTGTCAGTTCGGAAAATATCTCGCCAGAGAATGGCCATTAGATTTTACTCAAGCCCAAATGCCACAATTTCGTTTGCAAATGATCTTCGAAATCTACACGAAAGAACTTATTGTTTAAAAACGGCCAGAAAAAAAAACTCACACAATCTTTAACAATTGACAATACTTCAATGTTTTTCACCTTCTTACTTTTCCTTTCTTTTTCCTGTTGTGTACAAATTGTATTATTTGATTTCTATTCAGAACAAAGAAAAGAACGCAAAGCCAAACAACTAGAAAGGAAATTAATAAAAAGATGCAACTCGAATAAGACACTGCTTCTGATGCAGAATGTTGCTCCATCGAATCGCGCGGCCTTGTCTGTTCGGTTCATAGTTCGTCTTATTCATTCAAGTGATATCGAATTTGTTTATGAATTTTATAATTGATGAGAATTTTCACATCTATTTAATGTACACTCAAATTACGCTCAGCAAATATGAGCGAAATCTTTCCAAAGTCACTCAATAAACGATTGTTCGATCGTATCGTTTGTTTAATTGTATATTCTCATCGAACGATTTGATAGATACAAACATGTGATTTTAATTGTCACGAATCAGTTTTGCTCATCGCCTGATGACATAGAAAAGTGAGCGCGAGAAGAAGAAAAAATAATGAGAGAACTTCAAAGATTGCCTCAGGTTGTTTCATACGTATATGCACACACATCGGATGATCGATCGATTTTTTATTCATTGATCAGAACAAAGAGTCGCACTCTGCCATCTCTCTTTTTCTTCTTCTTTTATTTAAAAATATATGTTGACATAATTGACAATGACTTTCGTTTCACATTTTCTTTTTCTTTTTCTTCTTTGTTCAAATAAGTTTATCGCACTCTAAGACGAATAAATCTATTTGTCCTTCTTCGCGGATCTGATCGTTGTCACTGTACAGAAGACTTGCTTTCGCATGAAATCACATTATAGAATTGTGCCTTCTTTCGAGAAAGAAACAATAGATATGATCGTTATGAAGGTAATTACATAAACGATTTGTCTTGCATGATCATTTTTGTCAATTGGAACCTTGAAAAATGTCCTTCAGTTCGCAAAATATAAGGTAACTTTCTGTTCTATTTGACAATCAGACAAAGATTTATTTTCGATTTCATCTTTCGTCAGTTGTGATAGACAGTTTCAACAACGAAGAACATGTTTTATATTTTCATTCGTACTGCTTATTTCCACATCCTTGAGTATTCAATATGTCTAAGCTACTTATTCCGGTGATTTCTTCATTCAGACTGTCTAAACAAGTTACAATAAGCGTTTGTAATATATATAATTTTCAAGTACTATTATGATCGATTCTTTTCCAGTAGGTTATTTTACAACAACGCGATTCAAAGAAATTATACACTTCAGCTGTGAACGTATAAATAGCTCGTAGTTATACGAGATACGAGTAATTACATTAATGAATAGTTTGAGAGAAGAATCGACATCTATCACGCTCATTGTCGTCGGCGAGTTCATGTTTTTCTAATGAGAAGGAAAGGTAAAAGTGAGACCCCTATAGTGATATCTTTAATGGTTGGTTCAGAGCGTGAGACAATGGTCACAGTGAAGAAGAAGAAGAATAAATTTAACTTTAATTAATCCATTCAGGGAAAGTTTGTCTTTCTAGATGTTTTCATTTTCAATCGGATCGTCATGAACCATCCAAGTGATGAACTTTCCAAGAAGGTTGTCGTCTCACAACCGCCAACTCGAAAATCTCGTTCAATCAGTCGATATTTTCTTGGTAATAAACGTGCCAGTGTCGATAATCCAACGCAAAGCACAAATGATATCTATCGCTGTTTAATATCAGTTGGAATATTCGATTCGTACGATCTATGGGCACATGTAACTCTCTTTCGTGATTATACCACATGTCGACGTTTAATGATATTAACAACTAAAAACGAATTGATTATTGGTAAATATAATCATCGACATGTTTTATATAAGATCAAACAACGTGTTGACTTAAATCGTGTTTGGTTATACACACATTTAAACGATTCGACTGCTTCGGAAATCACCTCATTAAGTTATTATGATTCTACTCGATCGTTGATTATCGGCTGGCCAATAGCGGAGAATTTTATTATTGAATTCGAAACGAAACCTATCCGAGATATTTGGAAGGAACACATTGAATCGTAAAAATTGTTTCTCGAGAAAACTTTCGCTTCAACGAGCAGTTTTCTGCTTCTAGTACACTTCGTTCGTGGTGGCAATTGAACAATTCCAATATCGAACATGTTCGCATTGTCATCGATCGAAATTCAGAATTAGATCAAAATAACACCACGCCGTCATTCTTAATTGTAATGCAAAAAGAAAACGAGTAGAAATGAAAACAAGTAATAGTTTTGTTTTTTCTCTTCTAGCGTAAAGTAATCGGCATTCGAGCTGAAGAAACAGTTCATGATTTGATTAGAAAATGTATCGATGCATTTCATCTTCGAGTATGTTTATGCAGATATATGAATATAAATTGCATGTTTTTCTTTGCACAAAGGATCCACTGGTCGACAATTATGTCTTATTTGTCACCCACGATCAATCTAATGGAACACTTCCAACAACAAATCTGAATGTCTATTCATCTTCTCAAATAACAAATATCCCATTAATTGGTTAGTTGAGACATTTACATGAAAGAAAAGAAAAACGAAAACGAGAGTGAAAAGAGAAACCTCATCTGATGAATGTATTTGTATGCAAACTCTTGTTTGTCACATTTTCGTTTCTCTTTTTCTCTTTCTTGTCGACTCACAAGACTACTTAAGTTCTCATAGCGTAACTAGGAGTCTGCCATTCATTTGTGCACAGAGCAACACAAGTAGTACAACTTGTATTTTTCTTTCTTAACAGCAAAAAAAAAGAAAGAAAATATCGAGCACGGCCATGGCCAACGAACATCCACGGAAGACTGACCGATACCATCCCACATTTTTCGCTTTCTTCCGTAATGTTATCATACGTTCGAAAAGTCTTGATTATTTATATGATCAAAATCAAGCGGCAGGTACAGATATGAAAGCATTCTTAGACATGAGTCAGATGAAAATCTGCCCTTCAGTCGATATTAGAGGGCAAGGAGAACACCTACATTTGACATTTCTCAGAGATTTAGTGAGAAAGAGTATGTATCAATCATTGTCACACGACTATGTTA